ACTAGACTTGTGCGAATCCAATTCATTGTTCACGAAGGCGGTGCTTGCAAATGTCACGGCAAGGACGACGGCTTTCGCAAATCTGACCTGCAATAGTAGCAAACCAGGAGTCGAATTCAACGGACTAACTATGCGTTTGCCCAGACAGATGGATATTCCGAGTGTGGTTGAAATCCGGTGCCTACTCCATGACTGCCAATGGATGTTCAAAGTCATTGTCGATCTCGACAGTAAGTATCAATTATCTGTATTCCTCAGTTGCTCGACTACTAATCCAATTACTGTAAGGCAGGTAACTCAAATGTTATTGCATCTTCTATTCATATAATTAACCCCAGCGATTGAGACTCGGTGGTGACTGACATGCACCTGTGACGGGAGAGAGAAGAACACGTAGTTTTGCAGCATAGCATTCACTACATCCATGCCATTCTCTTCCCTGTCTTGTCCTGCTGGTCTCACCCGAATGTGCATGGTATTCTGGAATGAGATTAGGGTCTATCCTAACCTCCTCGAAGTTTAACCGAATGTTTGGCCATATCATGACTGCTATGTAGACTAGGGCTTACCTGCACTACCCCAGACGCATTTATTGCCGTTTCGGATGGTTTGCCCAACGTTTGTTTTTGGATTACTGTAGTGGCCGAGGATGTTGAGTTTGGTATACACCCAAGGGAGTAATTCACCTGTATAGGTCTCTGTCAATAACAACGGAGGGTGTTTTTAGTCATCGCAATCACACGTACGCATAAGCAGGTAGAATAATAACGAGGTATTTACAAATAAGATCTGTTGAGGTGAAGGAATTGGTTAACAGTAAATACCAGGGGACTGTACAATCTATCCGTTTTGAGGGAGTAGTGGTCAGAGAATATCAGGATCGGGGAGTGCAGCGCCGTGGGCAACTGCGGGTGAGGGCTGTGGAGGTGCTGTCGGTACGGAACGAGATGATACGGTATCTGGGAAAGCGGTGTCAGTGAGGGAATTGGGACGGAACACCGGCATCTTCACCAACAGACGATCACACTATCCTCATCCGGATCCGCGCGAATAGTGAACTTGGCACATTCAATTACCCATGCTCCGGGATGGCTCCATACATACGAGTCTCGATCGCAGCTTCGGTCCCTCAATGTTCCAGCATATTTAAAGACAATGCACGATTCTTCCAGCACCTCTTCCCCCTTATTTTGACCAGAACTCGTTTAGATCTGTTAAGTAGCTGCCGTCAAAAGGCTTTGCACTGAAGGGTAGGACAAAGGTGGATAGGGTCCTAATATATCACCTTATTTACTACCCCTTTCTGATCAAGATCCTGCATTCTACAAGAGCCCAAGATAGCTAGGATTTTTGGCCGTATCACGGCAGTCAAAATAAACCCGTCGTCACTTACTACTAGAACGCACTTTTCTAAAGGCTAAAATTACTACATGCAAATCGGCAGGAAAAAACTGCTGGTAACATAACGATAGAAAACCTCACATTTCATTACGCCAATCGGAATATATCAGGGTATTTTAATGTAACATCTCATTAAGGATGTTTTGGTCTTCAAGGATGCTCCAACGCTCCGTGCATTAACTGATGGTTTCCATTACTTAATTTTTTTCCTAAAGAATTGAAAATGATTCCGGAAAAATCGGCATACGATCCGCTAACTGACGTGATTTCACTTGAAATTTGCCGCGGACCCAACTGCTGGGCAGGGCCTTTCAGAACAAACATATCGGACACTAATAATCACCTACTCCGTAGCACTCCAAAGAAAGACACCGTGTCCCTGCAGGAACTCTACTGCCGCACAGAGGTCTGCCTAGTTGCACAGGATCATGACGAAAAGGCAGAACCAGTCAGACGTAATATAACGCTGAAACCCACAGAACAGCTGAATTGCAGTCAGACGGATATATACGTCACTCCAGCCTCGGCAACTAAGTCCATTTCTCTCTGCTCGTTCACATCTGCCAAGCAGAGGGATATATTTGCCAATGAGGACGTCTATAACACCTACTTTGAGGGCATTCGGTGCAAAAGTTCCGTCCCCGGTGTCAGATTCACCAAACGCCATCTGCAACTTCCAGCTGATAATTTATCAAAGCAAGATTATAGCATTGATTGCAAGCTGTATGGATGTCACTGGAAGTTTCGAATTTTAAAACAACCAGAAAGTAAGCGCGTTGTGTATTGCTGTCAATGATTGCATATTCATGCATTATATGCTTAAAAAGAGGGCAGTGAAATATGAAGAGTTAGTTCAGCAGGTCAGAGCAATTTCCTCGCTATGAACAACCTGAAACGTTTAAAGCTAGCAAAGTGCGCTACAACGGTGACTTGGAAGATTGCCAACTGATGCAATAAGTCGGCCCGTTCGGACGGCCCCACAGGTATTCCGTTTTTTTTAGGGGTGGCTGCTTGACGAGCTGAAAGTCAGGCTGCTAAGGCTCCCTCTTAATGTGGCCTTTATGGCACTTACATTCAGCTGCAATCCGAGCCATACCTAACTTTGCTGTGGATTCTTTGGTTGTGGTAGTCCACAGTGCGTCATCCTGCACCCTCTTCCATCTCCGGTCTTCTTGATTTGGTTTTAGCACTGGGTCCAGGTGGGAGGGTGGAACAGAGTGAGGTAGATGCAGCGCACGTCTACTCTCATTATAATCCAGCGCAGAGCACCGTCCCTGCACCACCCTGCTGTGGAGAGCACGGTGAACCTGGTCTAAGTCAGTGGTCACCCCACTGTCACCCCACACTGAGTGGTTGGTATGTTTAACTTGTTGCTGAAACAGGTCTAAGTAGGTTTATAACGGACTGACGGACATTGTTTGGCTGGAATCCGGTTTATGTAAAGCTGGGGTTAGTCAGTAGGTATACGAGTAAGGTTTTCCTTAAGTTTACAGCTAAGGATACTCAGCGAGAGTTATGCTTTAAGTTAGTACTAGGTTCAGTCCTAAGCATTGCCCCAAGCCTCATCTCAATTCAGACACTTATATCTAAACCCATTCCTTGTAATGCCCCTGAAATCCATCCGTAAAGTAGGCAGTCATATCAGATCTCTTCCTTGCTGGACCCCGCAACCCCATCAGATCAGAACTCCTAGGAAACTTTGAAATTCCAGCCACTCAAGTGAAATCACCAAGATTTTTCTAAAGTGCACCCAAGGATTATTTCTAAACATGAAACCCCCCAGTTCAATGAAGTTTAATCAATTACACTTCTAATATCTAGGACTCTTGTTCAATCCCGAACGAAAATACTATGGGACAGATCATGACAAAGTTACTTTGCAGGCATGCCTTGGCCCACACTGTTACGAGGAACCTCTACACACAAAAGTGTTTGATCGATATGGCGTCTTGCTCACCGAACAAACTAAACCAGTTCTTCTACCAAATTCGTATCTCTGCGTCTCGGAGCTTGTTATTGTCGTCAAATCACCACGAGATTCACAGAATCTTACGCGAAACCTCACGATCTCGCCGATGAGGAGCTGCAGATGCGAAGTGCAGCCCATATATCAAACTCCGAAAATGGCCCTGCGACCAGTACAATTATGCCAACCACACAACGCATCAGCATTTAAAGCGGTACTCCAAGGTAGGGCCTACGAAGAGGTTTTCAAACACAGCGTTTGCAACAGCTCATGTGTCGGATTGAAACTGGAAAAAGCGACAGCAACCTTTGAGAATATCAGCTTCCTCCCTAAACCTCCCGCATCGCCGAGGTGTCAGGTCTCCTGCAGGTTGCATGACTGTCGGTGGAACGTGGACTTGATTGTAGAGGATGAAAGTGAGTTCATTTGTTTTCAGTTGACCTTCTGTTCCAGAGATTTTTCCCCTTTCAATCTGCCAAAATACAGCCTTAATGAGACCCAGCATACACGAACGCACAAGCAGAGACTAGGTGTGACACCAGAAGACAAACGTTATCGCAATAAGCGTTTTAAGATAGCAACAGCGACGAAAGACGCAGAATCCACTGACTAAATAAAATTAAGTGACCTATTATTAAATTGCATACGGTCATGGCCCATTAATATGATAAGATAAACTGTACAGTTAAAGATCGACCTATCAGGAGAAAATTAAGAATGAAATAAACCATAATTTTTTGTCCAATATGCGAATATGCATGTTGAGCGGGAAGGGAGAGGAAATTTGCCTAAACAAGCCGGTTCAGATTACAGCGAATAGCTGTCAAACGTGACTATAATTGTGATATGCGGGTCAGCAGTCAGTCATGCATGGAGGGGAGGGGAGGTGGGAGGACAGGAGAGGGAATGAGAAGGAGACGATGCGATCGCTGGAGCAAGACGTTTATTGGCTTGACGTTTCGGATTCTGGCTTAAACACATCCTCAGATACAACTGAAGGAAGAGCAGTATTTATAGTCCATAGCGGTCATATGACCAGATGCGTAGTAAAATTCGTAGCTCATGTGATTGTCGCATGGACTCGTGATTGATGCGATGACAGTTCGGCCGTCCGTGTCCGAGTCATTAATTACCACGATTTCATCATTCGTTTTGGATGTTGACATGATAATTAAGAGACAATTAGGCGCACTATCATTGGGAGTGTTGATCGCCGTCGCCCTCCCTATGTGACTGATTATCTTGCTCAGGCAGTCTCGGTACGGAATAAAGTCACGACGCTTGTTGATGGACTGCAGGCCGGAGAACCACGCCTCGCGGTGCTCGCGGCTCGTGCCGTTGTTACCTCTTGCGGGTATTTCGGCCTCATTAAATTTGAAAATATGGCCGGGTCCCGTCCATTGAGCTGCAACTTAGCAGTTAGTGTCTTTCTCCTCATCGCTGCTGCGTGCCCAGCCATTCGTGTACATGGAGTTACTTCCATGACAGTGTGTACTTAATCCAACTGCTTACAGGATCCAGGTTTTCTCCTTCATATTACAGCGACCCCGACAAAGAACAGGAAACGTCTAGTCGTCGCCCGAAGTGCGATTTTAAAAAGATTCCTTATGTCCACCATGTGGCCGTCAGATGCTTCGTAATTGAACACTTGATTACCTTATTTTCCGCCCTCAGCCGGCTTTTTTGGCATATGTTCACCTGACCGAATCGCCAACTGCCTTTACGTCTGTCCAATGTATTTTTATTCGCGACTACGTTAACCTCATAATAGTTTTATCTGGTATGCACAGACAGAATGCCCTTAGTTGGAATAACTAAAATAACCCATTTTTTTGTGCTTATGAATAAGTATAACTAACAAAAAAGAGAAGCACTCACATGCCCATTACTGGCTGTTTCGGAAAATGTGAACCGCGACTGCCGTCACCTGGACTTGAGGCTTGATTGGCTGGTGACTTGACGTATTTCAAAATCTGCCGTCACGGTCTTCAATGTTTCTGATGATACTACCTTCAAACTACTTATTGTTAGTTTTTAAACTAACCCTTATGCACGGCCATGGCAAGAGATTGTCGAAAAGGTGAAAGGCACGGATTCCGTTCCTCAATCAGTTCTGCATTTTCCATGCTAAGATGTCGGCTTCGGGTTTGGTGACGTAGCTCATATTATCTGTTTTTGGCGAAAAGTACGGAGGTAAATGTCTAGGTATGCTGCCGTAGATCATCACACGCGGAGAGCTGCAATCCGTGGTATCATTGACACCGGCTAGATCAAGCTTGATCGCAAAATTAAAAAAAGTAACTTTATGAGCTGTAGCAGATAACTAATGAATAAGGACTCAGAGAAGCATGTAAGTCATGCATTGTTGATTTCTTCGTGGTGGAACCGCAGTGATAGAACACGTTGAGTCGGAGTTGTCTCAGCAGAAGACGGTGCGTTCGTGAGTCTCCTGATTTGCTCTCCTCCGCGGCCGCATTTTCACAACTGTGCCTTTCAGGACTTGTATGCATTTGGCTTCACTCTTATCCACGATATCCCGTTATCCTTGCTTATTTAATTTGCATTTATTTATTATTGCACACTAACTTCTAGCTAGTAGTAAGTTATGTTTTATTCGGTGAATGAAGAAGTGGTACTTAGGATACTGTGTCCGCGCTAAACTGGAAGACCCAAGTACTGACCTTTTCGGTACCACTTGTAACAGGGGCCCATTCTAAATAGTAGCCACCCGTACTAAATTTGGTCTACGATCGTTCAAGAACTTTTGAATCCAGTCCAGATTTAATCTTATACCTAAGTCTGACACCATTTTGATGAGGCGTTTATATGGAGTGCAATCAAATGCGATGCTGAGGTCAAATTAAATAGAATCTACTGGATATTTTTCATTCACAGCTTTCGACCACTGTTCGAGCGACGTAACAGGGCATACAAGATAGGACCTCCTTTCATAAAAACCATGCTGCACTGAGCTGATTTGACAGCGGAATGTTTCGAGGGATAAGACCGATAACTTAACTATCCTTCTCATCTGCTTACGACAAACGCACACCGGGGTGACCGGCCGGTAGTCGGTAGGATATAGCCGTGATCCTCTCTTATGGATGGGTAGGCCCTTTGTCCACTTCCCCGTAACAGGAAATTTACTAACTTTGAACAGTTTTTGGAAAAATATACAGAGCGGTTCGGTTGATGCTTCAGCCCGTTGACGTAGGAATACATCTGGAATCTCATGCGGTCCAGCTGATCCGGCCGGATACAACTACTTTAATTCCTTCAAAACTAGTTGCGGTGTAATAAATATTATGTTTATAAGTGCGTTGTTGACAAAGCGTAGCAGAATACAGGACTAGCAATGTTATTCCGTGGTGTAAACCTTTTGAAAAATGTGTGAAAAACATCGGGCTTTTGACAAACCTCATTTAAGAATTGGTGGTTTTTATTCCTAAGGGTTGCGAGGTGAACACGACTTTTTGTATTACTTGCGATGTAGGCGTAAAATTTTTTGGACTTTTGTGACACCTCTTCTAGGAACCTCAGTTCACAAGAAGCACCTGCTTCACGGAGGACACATGTACATAGTTTGCGTTGTTGACTAAATTCTTTAAGTTTTTGTGGGCTCTCCGTTTATAGAAAAGTTCTCCTAAGCTTTTAAGTGTGCTTCGATCCTTCTTCTTCACCACTTTTTTCGGTCATTACGGTCTATTTCCGCTGGAATGTCTCCTGAGAGCAGTGCTGTTTAATCCAATTTAGTAGACATAATCTATGTTAGCTCCTTGAATTTAAAATACATAGTCCAGCTCAGCCTGGTTTGGTTTGTTATTTTATAGTAACAGGAAGTAATTCTTTCTGCTTAATTAATAAATGCATATATCGACATGCACACAAGTACTCTATTGCGACTTTTGTTATTCAAGGTCATTTTATTTACTGGAAGTTACTTTTGTTGGTCTTTTCCTTTATCACTCTCAAGCTCTTTGTTATCTAAAGACCTAGAGGAATACATCTAGCGAACACCTACCTGAATATAGTAATCAAAGCAAAATTTAATGGCACCATAAATTTCGTGAGAGCTCTTCAGTTGCATCCACTCATTGCGTTGAAGGATCACGAATGGAAAAATAAGAAATTGAATTTGTATAGAAAGGTCATAGGTCCTAGTCACATACAGGAGGAAGGTTAAAACAAAGTAGAAGGGGAAACAGGGAAAATGAGTTGCGGGGAAAATGGGGCAAGGGAAATGTGCAAATCTGGGGGCCTGTAGTTACCAAGGCAAGGCTAGGTTAACCACATGCTCCAACTGTTTTGATAGGTCCGATTTAGAGCGTCTAATATAAGCTGCCTCCAGCTAGCGCAAGATTTGAGGTGTTCGTGCTTGAACAAGAACTCGGAATGAAGTTATAGGGTCTACAGAATGACCCGTGTCCAGCAGGTGTTCAGTAATAGAGGAACGAGGGAACGGTTTTCCTGCTTGAATAACCAACTACTATATTCAAGTTCTCACCGGGACCACTATGCTTCGTACACCTACTTATTTATCATGCTTCCTTGCGCACGTTACATTGTTACATGGTGAGGCACCACCCTTAAAATACTCGTTACCAACGTTTCTATCATACAGGAGCATTGGGTTAGTGACGGCTAAAAATACTCATATAACCTACCGTTGCCGAATCGGTACTTGAGTCGAGGATGTTCTATGTAAAAAAATGCATTTAGTCCCCTCAAGGTAACTCTCTGTGCGACAACTTAGGAGAGCGGTTCCTGATATATCCTGTCATATTTTCCTATTACAGAACTGGTGCCAAAGTCACCCAAGTCTTCTTACAACCCTAAACTGGACGAAATTGAGATGCAGCTCTGTTTGAGCAAGAAGTGTCGCTCTGAGGGCTTAAGCATTTCCATTCTGAGTGAAGATGGCATGGTTCTTGCAACCCACCTGCGTGGTGCCTTCTCTCTGAAGCTGTTTTTCTGCCAACCAGGGCTCATATTAGAAGGCCAAGTAGATGGTGAACCCGAGAGGCGACAAACGCGCATCAAGTTAGCACCAGTGCTTACTTACAACTGCAGTGAGGAGTCTCGCATCTTGACACCTGTTGAGGCTACCAGAATACAACGCCTATGTTCTTCCCGTGACCAGGGCATAAAGAGCGTTCTGAGTGTTGACAAGGTCTACATTAGAGTCTTCAACGACGCCAACTGTACCACAACTTCAGCGGCCGTAAATATCTCGGCAGCCATGGCAGTTCTGCCGGAGGCTCCGCCTTCTGACGAGAAGTACAGCTTTGACTGCAGGCTTTTGGCTTGTAAATGGAATTTGGACATGTTTGTGGAGCATGAACGTGAGTACTCCCGCTAGACTTTTGCTGATAACAGTAACGAAGTGACATGTCGCATAGTCTTAGCCTTGTATATATGAAACTGCAGTAGACTGTCTATCTCATAGAACGTCAATCGAAATTCTGAAATATGTTTTAGAGTTGAGAAAGTGTTTACATAAGTGTAGTTGTAAGGATTAGTATTATACAGCCCTATCCCAAAATATTCCATTTGCGTCAGGATGCCAAATTTTGAACGAGCTTTCATCCAGCGGCCTGCAACCAGGACACTGTAGGAAACGAGTAATTTTGTATTATGTATTTTCCAAATGATTTTAGATGCTCTTGTTGATTCATGCACGAGAATAGTCATTCACATATTCTTTTACTGGCAAAAGATGCCCTCATTTTACTTTGTATTGTAGTTTTAAAAGGTTTCTTATTATATCCATTCGGTAAGCATCTAATCAGGCCATTTACTAATATAACGCTTTCATCACAGCGTAGAGAAATTGATGATTTTTCGCAGCTGGAATGTGTACAGCATTTAGTTCGGAAATCCTAAATGCCCGTGCAACGACAGGTCCGGGGCAAAATTATTCAGGAATTGAAAATGTTTTTGGAAACCGAAAGATACAATATGCTCAACTATAAAATTCGAATAAGACGTAAGTTGTTATCAAATTTTTACCGGAAAGGATACCTATATGTAGAATTTCTATAAAATAGATTTGGATTTCTTAAAAAAATTGGCGAGCATACGTTTGCGGGTTGATAGAACCAATCGTGCAGTTGTCAGATTCGTGGGGGGGG